TAGCTACTTCCCACTGTGACCGCAGGCTGAGAATGTTCACTGTTTGTCTCTGGTTTAGAGTCTTGGGTTTCTACCTACTGTTAATTACTGGGAACTGTGTCAGGGATGGCAGAGACTGGGCCAGGTGTGGCTCTGCTCTCTGTCTTGCCTGTAGCCTCCCTTGGATGACTCTGCCCTTGGCTCCTTCCTTGACTGGCAGATTCCTGGGCAGGACTTGGTGGGTGTGGGCTGTGTGTTATCAGGCAGCACAGAGACATCTGTGGAAGGAGCCCTGCACACAGTCCTTGTCCCTTCCTCTGGGCTCCTCACTAGGTTCCCTGCAGTGTTGGGAAGTGCAATGTGCATCTTGTTCTCAGAAGGGTGGGAACCTCTCTTCCGGAGGGAGGAAACGCTGGTGTTTGATAGCTTTGTGACCCCGGGCAAGGCGCCTTCTGCCCTGGACTCCTTTCCCCTATAAAGAGGAAGCTGAGCTCCAGTGTCCCTGTGGCTCTCAGACCTTCCACACTCCTGCCAAGAGGTGACTTGGTTCAGACTCTACTCATATGGGACTGTTGTGAAAAGAAGTTTGTTGCTCTGTTTAGAGCTCAGATGTCCTCTGGTCTTGAAGGGCAAGGCCACCAAACCCCAGTGCATACTCTGTGACTTCCACCTCAACCCCTGGGCTCTCAGGACCAGGTTAGGTCTAGGACTTTGTTAGTCTTTCTGGCCTCAAGTTCAGTTAAATTGTTGGCATGTCAATTTTCCACAAGTGTCTCTGAGGTCTAGATTCACCACAGACTGTCCATCTAGCAGGACCTAGGGTGGCAAAGCTGCTTAGCCAGTGGTGCTCAGTTCACAGATGGGCAACTGAGCCTCAAGAGAGGGATGGCTGCTCAAGGCCACAGGGTAAGTTAGGTGGTGCTGAGGTTCTAGCTGTGTAAACTCCCTGTCCTGTTTTCTTTCCTTTCTTTCCTCATGGAAAAGCTCCAGAAGACCCTATTTCCCTGAACTCTGTGACATTGTTGTCTTCAGAAGTCCAGTGAAACAGGTACCTCTGAAAAGGAGGACCTTGATTTAGGACAGAGATTGTGCTGGGAGTTCTTGGGGTGGGCAGTGATTTCAGTGTGCAGGGGCTTGTGTCACCCTGAGGCCTCCATGCCTCTGCTCCTCCCGTAAAAGTCCCAGTCTTTACCATCTTCCTGTGACCAAGGAAGGGCCATCTCTGCTGTGTAGAGGAGGTCCCTGACTCAACGAGGTCCTGTTGCTAGAATGTTGTGGAGTGGCAGCTTGCCTGGGCCATGTGTTGGGCATTGCTCTGAGCTGCCTTGCTTTCAGGTTTCCTTCTGGTTATCTTTGAGATGCCCATAAGGAGGCCCAGAGAACAGGCTTTGCTAATGTCAGCCTGAGCCAGCAAGGGGATTGTGCAAGAACTAGAGGCCAGCAGGGCAGAGCTGAAAGTATAGCCTTGCTGCTTGCTGGTGGATTCTCCTTGAACTTGCTGAAGAAACGCCTTTGGGACATGCAAGAGTTGTCCCTGAAGGGAAAGGTGCCAGACCATTAAATCCTGGATAAGAGTCTGCTTTTGATCTTCTTGGAACTGGAACTCTTGCCTGCAGTCCAGCAGGGCCTTGCTGGGAGGTCACACTTTTATTGGGACTTGATCCTGCTAGGGTAAAGTGCAAGAGGCTTGCTCATGTAGTGAGGGGATTCCTTTTGGCTTGCAGGACAAGGCAGGGCTGTTCCAGCCCAGAGTGTCTCAGGAGGACCTCTTGCCTCTATCATGGGGGCCTTTGCCTAAGGAGGAAAGGTCAATTTTGAATCTTTACAGTGATCTCCAAAGAGATCTGCTCCCTTACCCAACTGTGCTTGCGTTGGGAGGCAGGTTCTTTTAATATGTGCCTCCTCACCACCTAGTGTTGTGGGTCATAGGCTTTGAAGTTGCCCAGCCCAGAGGCCCCTCTGTGGCTTAAAGCACTAGGTTCTTGTGTGGATGTTCCTTGGTTTGGAAGATTTGAGATGTTGCTTGCTCTTTGTGGCCTGGGCAGCTGGGGCGGGCTGGCCTGTGGGCTGTAAGATAATATGTTGTCAGGGTCAGAGACACTCAGATTTGGTTCTTACGTCTGCCACCAGCTATCTGTGTGAACTTGGATAAATGGCCAAGTTTCTCTACATCTGAGCTTTCCCATCTGAAAAATGAGGGCAATAGGACCAATGATACAGAGCGTGTGGACGGGTCTTTTTTGGTGTATTAAGTAATGAGTGCTGTGCACAGCTCCCAGGAAAGGGTAGGGGTACTTGCTCTGGTGACCACAGCAGAACTGATGGTCCAAGCATATGAGGCTGCGCACCCTTTGGGCTTGACTAGAGTAGAGGCTCCTTCTTCAGGAGGTAATTCAATTAGGTTATAGAAAAGGGTCAAAAAAGATAACTCTGAGGCTGGAGGACACCCTGCAGAGCCATCACTTCCAGATGGTGGCAGCCAGGGAGGATGACCCAGAAATGCTCTATTGGGACAAAGCTGGTGGGTTCCCTGGCTCATTCATGGGGCGGGTTACTTCCCTTTTCTGGTCCTTCCATAGTCTCCTTGTCTCTGAAATGTTCACTGGTTCCCCCAAGTTCCTGCCATGGGCAGTGTTCATTGAACCCGTCATCTGACACGTGACCCCTGTCTTCTGGTGTGAGTTAACTTCAGTTCTTTATTTCAAAAAAGTGGAAAAAAACACCAGCTCTCATTCTTAGGGTCCAGTGACTGTGAGAGGAGAATTGTGCTGCCTGGTGTCGGGTTGGCTTTCCTCAGGGGACAGTGAGTGTGTGTGTCTGGAGTGTGTGACTGGAACAGACCATGAGTGGAAGCCTGGCTGCCTCTGAACAGCTTGGTGCCCCCAAGCGTCTGTCATGACAGGGTGAGGATCTTCAGGACTTTTTGCTTTGCATGCTTTGGCAGAGCAAACTTCCTTGTGTCTGTTTGGTAATCTGAAAAAAGAATTGAAAGAGCACCACAGCGTGGATTCAATGAGAGCTCTGTGTGACCGTTGATTATTTCAAGTCAGCCTTCTCTCACCTGTCTAAATGGCGCCATGGGTGGGTAGACTATCGTAGGAAGTGGTTAAGCAGGCTTAGAATGTCTGTTGGAAAACCTGAATGCAGGGTAGAGCTGGATAGCCTCTAGCCCCGATTTGCCCCAGTCCTAGACTGATGACCCTGGTGGGGCTTGACCATAGACCTGTGCCAGTCTGGGTGATTGCTAGACCCTCAGATCTAGAAGTGTGCCTAGGAGGAGAGCAGGAAGGGCCACAGGCCCAGATTACCTGGTCTTGCAGCCCTGGTGAGGACCTTACATGGGTCTGTTTTGCACCTCCTATGTGCATGTCCTTCTCTACGTTGTTGGGATACAACCCTGAACAAAACAGACATCTCTGCCCTGAGAGGGATTGCCTCAGGAGACAAGATAGCAAACAGTCCATATGGGGTAAATCTGTGCCTTGAGGAGAATTAAGCCAAAGGAGGCCCCAAGTGGACCCCAAGATGGAGCAGAGAGCATTTCTACCTAGGATAGTAAAGGGAGGCATTTCTGAGAAGGTGAAGTTGGAGGAGACCTGAATGAAGTGGAAGAGGAGACCAGGAACCAAAATAGAGGAAGACATTCTAGGCTGAGGGAACAGTGTCAAGATTCTGAGACAAGGATGAATTTGGTGAGTTCAAGAAACAGTAAGAATGGTAGGGTGGCCAGCTAGTAGAGTCGAGGTGGGGAAGATAGGCAGGGGCTGGTGTTGGAGACATGGGCCAAAGCATGGCCCTTGTGGGCTGTGGCAGAGTTTGAATTTTATTCTAGGTGTGAAGGAAAGTCATTGGAGAGTTTTGGTCATACAGTTGTTCTTCATATCTGCATTGTGGATTCAACCAATCTTGGATAGAAAGAATATTTTCTATTCTATTTTATAATATTTTATATTCTATTCTATTTTCTTGGATAGAAAGAATATTTTAAAAAATCCACCACCAACAAAAAACTGTATTTGTACTGAATACCTAGGCTAGTGAAAAGTGGTTAGCAAGGTGGCTTGGTTCAGACTCTACTCATATGGGACTGTTATGTAAGGGAGTTTACTGCTCTATTTAGAGCTCAGAGGGCCCCTGGTCTTGAAGGGCAAAGCTATGTAACCCCAATGCATACTCTGTGACTTCCCCTCAACCCATGGGCTCTCAGGACCAGGTTAGGTCTAGGATTTATGCTCTTTGGCAGTTAAGTAGGCTAGCTAAACAAGTAGTTAACAGAAAAGTAGGATAAAGCTTCATTTGCAGAGAGCATGGGTTTTGATTTTATGTGGAAAACTCTTCTCTGCTTTAGGAGCCTGAGGTGTATTTGGGTGGGTGCCTTTTTCTTGGCCTGTGGGGCAGCTTAGTGCTAGTGGGTTCCTGCAGGTGAGAGGTTGGGGGTGCTTCTCTTCTGGGTGAGCTCATTGTCTTGTGAAGGCTTATTTTAATTCAGTACCTTTAATTCTGTATTTGCTGAGCACACGTGTGCCCCGGGCTGTGTGTAGGTGTCATGGGGAGGAGGCTACACCTGGCCAGAAAATGGTGTGGGTAGCTGGTTGTCTTTAGTTTGAATCTGAATCCTGGGCTATGGGTCTGAGGTGGGGAGCGCAGGTGCTGGGCTGTGTTTCTCCATGCCCTTGCCTGCAGCTGGCCTTGTCCTGTGAAGATCCTTACCTGTAATGGAAGCCTCTGATGTACCTCAGGAAGGTACTGTCATATACACTAAAGTGTGCAGTAAAATGAGGTTGAAGGAATATGTCAAACATTGAGAGAAGATGGATGCTGATTATCTGCAAAGCCCTAACGTCCCTTTCTTGGGGAAGATGGTACCTGTCATCTGCAGGAGCCAAGGGGCCGTGTTGGTATACAAGAGTCAGGAGTGTCCCTGACTAGCAGATGGATTTGCTCTAAGAAGCATGTTCACAGTACTTACCGGTTTCTGACCTAACTTCTTCTCTCTTTTTCCCTCCTCTGCCCCTGCTCAGTTGGCTGGAGTTGTCTTCCTTGGAGTTGGGCTGTGGGCATGGAGCGAAAAGGTAGGTGGAACCTAAACTAAGCCCCAATTGTCAGGTAGCCAATACCAGATCCCTTAGGTTGAATTGCCCCTCCTGCAGTCTGTACTCCACAGCAAGCATTCCTGTGTGATAGGAGGCTGGAGGTCGTTAACCCTCACAGAACCTGCCCCAGGCTTGCTCTGCTCCTGGCACGGGGTTGCACAGCTAGCGGCCAGTGCTGGTACAGTTAGGCTTCTGGGTTTTGAGATCTTCTGGGTTTGGAGAGTCTTCTGTTCCCAGAAGCCCTGAGTGGCCCCACGGCTTGTCTGTAGCTGTGCCTCCCCAATCCTGTCTGTACCCCTGGGAGCAAGTAGACACAGTTGTGCTTACTCCTGAAGCCCTTGTCCTAGCCCACAGAAAGCATCCCTGAGAGCAGGGAGTCCTGTGGGGAGTGGGACAGGTCTTAAAGCACGTGGGGACTCCTTGTCTAGCTTGTGAGGAGGTGAGAAAGGGAGACCAGGCTCATACTAGGAGGAAGAACAGTACAGTTGGTGCTCCAGTGGGGCTAGACTGGTCAGGGACAGGGTGGAGTCATGATGCTGTCCTTGTCCTGTGGAAGGTTGTAGGTGGTAAGGGATAAAATCCCTATAGGGCCAGAGAGGGAGAAGACAGGAGGAAGATGGAGTGGGTGACTAAAGCCCTCTTCAGAGTCTTAGGTCCAGGGACCTCTGTTCTTTCAGTGGAACCTATCTTTGCTTCCAGAAGGAGGAAGTAGGAACATTTAGGTCTGTGGGTCAAGTTATGGCATAATCTTAGGAACCGGATAAAGTCGCCTTTGGATTAGGGCACTTTTGTCATGGCCTGTGAACCCCTAACTAGCAAGGGCTAGAAAGCAGTGTTCCAGTGGTCAGGAAGCTCGTGCATCCCATGACCTGCAGTGCCACTGTGTGGCCCCTTCTGGAACTGCAGCAGCTTGACCAGGAGGAGTCCTGAAGCTGAAGCTAGCTACAGAGCTAGCTGCCTGGGCTAGGCACCAGACTGGCTGCCCTTTTATCCTTCTTCCTTTGAACCTTACAGAACTCCTCCATTGTGGTTGTCACTAACCACATGTGACTATTTGTATTTATATTTAAATGGATTAAAAAGTGTTCAACAACAGATATGGCCAGTGGCTACTTCTTTGGACATTGAATAGTCACAAAAAGTTCCATGGGCAGCGCTGCAGCCTTCATCTGCCCTTTCTGAAGTGTTCATTTTGAGACTGTTTTTGGCCAGTTCGACCATAGGCCACAGGACCTCCTACCCTCCAGAGTGAGAGTCTGGCAGAGGCATCCTGTCTGCCTTGCAGGAACTTTCAGCCTCAGTGGAGAGCAGGAACTTCATGTGAAGATCTCTGTGGGCTGAGGTGGGCAGGGATGCCAGGCAGAGGGACCTCTAAGGGCATGGGGAGGTCCATACTCTGGCCTGTCCCTTAATGATAGGACTGAGCCTTAACAGGCAGCTCCCTGGCCTCAGGCCCTGATACAGCCTGGCCCCCAGGCCCTCTTTGACTCCCTTTTGAGGCTGATGCTGCCCTATTTTCTTTGCATTTTTTTTCTAGGGTGTGCTGTCCGACCTCACCAAAGTGACCCGGCTGCATGGAATCGACCCCGTGGTGCTGGTCCTGATGGTGGGCGTGGTGATGTTCACACTGGGGTTCGCCGGCTGTGTGGGGGCCCTTCGGGAGAACATCTGCCTGCTCAAGTTTGTGAGTGGCCCCAGAACTGGGGGTGTGATGTGAAGGACTTAGGAAGATGGGGTGGGGTGGTGGGGTGTGGGCTCTGCTGGACAGGCCTGTGTGTTACATGGTCCAGCAGTGGAAACAGGAGCCAGCCTTTTGTACTCTGCTATGCCTCACTCAAGGTAAGATTTTGGGGAAAAAAAACCAGTCTCAAGGAGCTGGCTCTTCACCACAGGAGAACTGGGGCCCTCTGGTTTGCAGCCCTGCTGGGAGGAGTCAGACTTTTATCTCCCCTCACATGTTCTAAAGGAATTGTTTGTTTGCTGTTCACCTTTGCTCTTCCTGCCCAAGATCAAAAGATGTTGCTAGTTACATTAAGGAATCATTTCTTTTCCCTCCTCCAGAGTGTGAGAATCTGTTGGATGTGCAGTGTAGAATTCCTAATTTTCTGGCAGCACTGCAACTTACTCTGAGTTTAGTTTTATATTTAGATACAAATTCATTTTTAAATGCATTCAGGTAAAATTAAATATTACCTCGTGGGGAAAACACATTATCTTCTTTTTTGCACTTTTATTATGTATTGTTTATTAGGTCAAGCTTTCTTAATTTAAAAAGCAAAATGCATGGTTTTTTTCCTAGTTCTTTTTTCCTCTTAAAAATATTGTTTTTAAGCTGGGCATGATAGTACATGTCTATAATTCTAGCTACTTGGGAGGGGGAAGAAGGAGAATCTTGAGTTCAAGGCTAGTCTAAGCAAAATTAGCAAGCTTCTGTGTCAAAAAAAAAATTGCAAACAAAACAAACAAAAGGCATGGTCATAACTCAAGTGTCAGAACACTTGCCTAGCACGTTAGAGACCCTGAGTTCAATCCCCAGTACTGAAAAAAACACCACATTTAGCATTTTGCTTCTTTGAGAATAGAGATTACATTGGAGGGCTTGTGTATGTGCCTATTTGTACGTGTGGGTGCTTGTGGGTCTTCTCTTGTCTTCCCTGGAAATTGTGCTACAAATTTACTGATTCTGGCAAAGCTGCTTAGCATCTGTTATGGCATTGAGAGCATAGACTGCGGGCTGGGGGTCTGCCTTGATGGGAGGCAGGTGTGGACCTGTGGCTGCAGAAGGGCCTTGTAGAATGCCACCACTGTGTGCAGTCCAGCAAGCAGCCATGCTTCCAGAGAGGTCTGTATGTGGCTGACTCCCCTGTGCTCACAGACAGAGGGGGTACTGGTAATATTAGCACCTTGGGAGTGAAAAAGAGCCCTGTCAGGGAATCCTGATGTCACGGCAAGATACATGGTCCCAGGCCAAACTGTGTGCTTAAGTAAGCCTCAGTCTCCTTGTGCCTAAACTGGGGGTGACAGATAGATTTCTAGGAGCTTGGATGATTGTGCGTGCCTGAAGATTGGTCACATAGTGGGTGGGTACAGGCTTTGTCCACAAGAGCTGACAGCCTGGTGGGGAGGACAGCATGCACTCCTGTGATAGTGTTTCTGTCTTGTCGAGGGAGGATGGCTGATTCCTAGGAAGTGATGGACATGGTGCCTTGTAGCTTTCTCATCTTTTTCACTCATTGCACTGTTACATCAGTGCTGTGAGTGATGTGAACAGTCATGAATTCCCCATTTACGGAGCAGGTTAAGTTGCCCAGAGTCCCCCAGTTACTAACAGGCCCATGGGGTCTGTTGTGTGCAGCCCATGCTCTTTGCAGCATACCGTGGATCTGGGTCAGACAGGGTACATGGGTCTGGGCCAGGCTGGTTGTGTGGTGACATGATAACTTCTGCCCTGTCTTTGTCCCCATGTAGTTCTGTGGGGCTATTGTGCTCATCTTCTTCCTGGAGCTGGCTGTGGCTGTGCTGGCCTTCCTGTTCCAGGACTGGGTAAGGGACCGGTTCCGGGAATTCTTCGAGAGCAACATCAGATCCTACCGGGATGACATTGACCTGCAGAACCTCATTGACTCGCTTCAGAAAGCCGTAAGTGCTGCCCCTGTTGGGCTCTGTGGTAGACCATGTGTACTCCTGCCACTCTGTCGCCCTGCAGCCAAGGCTGGGGGACATGAGCCTTCCCTCCTTGGTGGGTTTTCTGCCTGCAGCATGGCAGGGAACAGGGAAGCCATGGAAAGTGCACCTTTGCCTCTGGTCAGCTCAGTTTTGCTGGTCATGGTGGTTTTGGTGATCCAGGTTCACTTTCAGTGAGTCTTTTCTGCATTTGGATTAGGCAGGAAAGTCCAGTTGCACCCATGGCTCCCCACTTCCAGTACTCCAGCCCTCCTCTTATCCCTCCCTTCTTTGAGACCTAGCTCCCCCCAGTTTTATCCAATAGCCACATCAATAGGGACCTTGGGCCCTGTGAGTAGAAAGGGGGAAGAGCTCCTCTCCCCAAGCTCATGACGCACTGTCTGAGGCTATTCCTGTCCCCTTTGTCCCCAGGACCTTTTCTCCTTCCTGTCTGAGAAGGGAGAGCTGTTTGGAGGAAGCTTCTTCATATGGAAGGATGTAACCTCTCTGAAATTGTCCCTGGGGGCTTGTCTAAGCAGTCCTCTCACCCTCAGTCAGTTTGCCCCCTTCCCTTGTGCGCAGCTGCACCTGGACACTTGGACCACAGCCACTCTGGCTCCCTGGGGGCAACCCACTCCCTGCCATGTTGGCCTGTGCAAACCTCCTGTTTGAGCTGTACTCTGCCAGAAGCCCAGCTTCCTCAAGACCTTTTATATGCAACACTTGGTTCCAAGGAGAAAATACACTAGAAAGCACTAAAAATAGCTCTGACCCACTCTCATTAAACTTGCTCAATCTTGTTTCATGTATCATGGGGTCCAGCAGAAGCCATTTCTATGACCAGAGAGTTTATCCATATTGTTGTTATTGACCCATGTTGTTCTGTAAAAGTCACCAAATCCCAGCCATCTTCTGTGTCCTCATGTTTTTTTCTGCTCAGTGCCAGTTTCTCTCAGTTTAATGCTCACATGGCCTTAGCCCTACTGGGTTCTGCGTGTTGGTTTTAGGTGCTTCCTCTTCTCTGCATTGCCTTAAAGACATTGTTGTTTTCTTCATTGCCTTCCTTCCCCCCGCTCCTTTTTGTTTTTGAGAAAGGGCTCCTCTGTGTTCCCCAGGCTGGCTTTGAACACATAATCAATCCTCCTGCCTCATCCTCCCAAGTGCTGGGATTACAGGTGTGTACCATCATACCTGGCCCCTTTTGTTCTAAACATAAAAATTTCCACAAGGTTTCAGTAAGCTCTGGAGCTTACTTGGTTTGAAATATTATGTGGCCGTTAAATCTGCTATAGTGGAAGAGTAGGGATGGGGAGACTCAGCACACCCGTTGTCATTTGCCGTGACTGCTGTCATAACCGTGTCGGCCTAAAGGGCAAGTGCAGGAGCGAGATCTGCTGTCTGGTGCCTCTCTTGGCTTCGTGATAACTCTTCCTGTGATAGACTTTACACATTTGTAGACTAAGGAAGACTTTCTTTGCAGGTGCACCAGATAGTGGATTGCTGAGGGGAAGGTTTGGTGCACTGTCATTGACCCAGTCGTAGCTCTTTCTCTGGGAGTAGACATTCAGCAGCTGTCTTTTTGTACAGAGGCAGAAAAGGTAGCCAGGGCCAGCATGGCAGTTTCTCAGGAGGAAGGCCTGCTGTCCATGCAGAAGGGCCTTCGTAGGAGAGGAGAAGCCACTCAGGGATAGAGGGGCTAGGGAAGGAAGGGAAGACTGTGTGCTAAGGAGGGAATAGAGCTAAGTGCTATTTGTCCTTTGGTGAGGCTGGGGGTCACTGATGAGCCAGCCTGGGTATCAGACAGAGATGTAATGGCTGCTGTTTCATTCTTAAAGAGCTACTGGTGATGTCGCTCCGCGTCTCTCTGCAGGCCTAAATTTCTGTCTGTACGTGAGAACATGTTTACCCCTGCCACATCAAGTTGAGAAATAGTGTTGGGTGGCCCTAGCCTTCACTTGGAGCCCCTGACAGTTCTTGGCTTTTGCGATTGCAGAACCAGTGCTGTGGGGCATACGGCCCTGAGGACTGGGACCTCAATGTCTACTTCAACTGCAGTGGTGCCAGCTACAGCCGCGAGAAATGCGGGGTACCCTTCTCCTGCTGTGTGCCAGATCCTGCGGTGAGTTGCCCACAGGGCACCTGTCGTTCCTATAGTCCAGCAATTACTGTGACTTCTGGGCAGACCGAGCATTCTGGACTGCCTGTTCCTGCAGGCTGCAGGAGTGTGGTATTCTCCTCCACCCCTGCTCCAGGGCCCTTGCAGCTCTGAAATCCTATGCAGGAAAGATCCAGGAACCTTCCTGCCTGACACACCCTGGCTCTGTGTGCTGGATAAAGCAGGAGGAGAACAGCTTCCCTGAGCTGTCCTCTTAGTGTCCTTTCTTGGTGAAAACTTTCTGAATGCAGAAGTCCACAGGGGCCATGGGGATACACATCACTAGCTGGGGGACAGTGTCTCCCAGGTGAGAAATATTTTCTGTTCTGTCTTTACCTGTTTTCATTCCGGGTTCAAGGCCCAGATTCTTGGGGTTCCAGAAACCAGGCTCTTGGGGTGAAAAGGGAATCTTGCTTGAACTGAGTGTGATTAGAGCTGGGCCCTTTGCAAGCTCTCTGTACAGTTCCTTGATGCCTGGCACTGGGTCATGGGGCTCTTAGCAGGCCAGCTGACACCTCTGCAGTATGGGCAACTTCCCCAACATGATTGAGGCCCTGATTTTCTGAGGTTGCACAACTGGTGTCTGAGGTCTCCAAGGGTGACTGAAATATACCAATCTAGTAAGTTTTGCATTCATCAAGTGTAACTTTTACCTCTTACCATAAAGATTGTCAAACTGTAGCCCAGGGCCAAAATGTGGTTTGCTGTTTTGTATGACCTGGGAGCCAAGGATACTTTTAGTGGTTTTTTTTTGTTTGTTTTTTTGAGGTACTTGTATTTGAACTCAGGGCTTTGTACTTGCTAGACAGGTGCTCTAACATTTGAGCCATACTTCAGTCCTTTTTGCTCTGGTTATTTTGGAAATGGGGTCTCACTTTTTGCCCAGGCTGGCCTGAGCAGCAATCCTCCAATTTTAAACTTCCCAATCCTCTTATTTTAAGCTTCCTGACATCACTGTCACTGGGATGACAAATGTGTGCCACCACGCTCAGACTATTGACATGGGGGTGTCAAAAACCTTTTTGTTAGGCCTGGCCTCAAACCAAGATCCTTCCAATCTCAGCCTCCCAAGGAGCTAGATTACAGGCAAGAGCCACTGGTGCCTGATGCTTTTAGCTATTTTTAAATGGCTGATGTAGTCAGCTTTCCATCACTGTAACAAAATACCTGAGACAATTAACTGAGAAAAGGTTAATGGGGCTGTGGTAGAGTGTATGCTGAGCATGTAACAAGGCCCTTGGTTCAGTCCTTAGCACTAATAAAAAAAGGTTTATTTTGGCTTACCGTTTTAGAGGTTCTAGCTCCTGATCAGGCATCCCTGATGCTTTCAGTTGTGTGATGGTGCCAGATGGTGATGGCTAGGACTGCGTAGTAGAGCATACTTCTCATCCCATCGTCAAGACACAAACCAGACTCCCAAGGTCCCTTCAAGGGCATGCCCCCAGTAACCTAAGAACCTCCCACTTGGCCCCACCTCCTAAAGGTTCCACCCCCCCTCCCCCCAGTTGCACAGCCTCATGACCAGTCCTTTAACAACAGGGACCTCTGAGGCACATTCAACACCCAACCTATAGCATAGTTGAAAATAAAAGGATAATATTTTATGATGTGTGAAAATTATATGAAATTTAAATGTCAGTGTTCCTGTTTTTCTGGAAATATAGCCATGCCTGTTCGTTTACATGTTACCCAGGTCTACTCTCTTGCTACTAATCACAGTGCAATAGTTGTTCTGGAGGCTATATCTGAAATATTTACTCTCTAACCCTTCACAGCAAGGTTAGTTGGCAGCATGACTGAAGGGAATGAGCTGTAATGGAGTTTCCACAGGTGTTTGCGGTGCTTTTCTAGAACCTTTTTGAGAGAACAAAATTGACTAATTTTTCTGCTTTTTTTTTTTTTTTTTTTTTACAGCAAAAAGTTGTGAACACACAGTGTGGCTATGATGTCAGGATTCAGGTAAGAGCCCTGAGGCACACAACTTCAAGTGTCTGTAGGGTGACATTTCTTAGATTTTATTCCTTATGATCTAACTTCCAACAGTGCAAATTGGAGTGGGAAAACTGGAGGATTAGCTCAGAAGGTATTGTCTAAGCTGGGGGCATGGTGCCACACACGTGCTTCCTGAGCAGGCAGCTGGACCCTCAGGAACAGTGGTGGGTGGAGATGCCAAGCCCTAGATTTTGATAGCCCCAAACCTAGTCATTGCTGCGTTAAAGAGGTAATATGGAAGTTCTGGAGAACAAAAGGCTGGATTTTTAAGAGGATCCAAGGAATTCCAGAAGAAGTCCAGGATGAAGCTCCAGCAGTGTGTCTTGGTCCATGTTCCATGTAGAGGCAGTGGTAGCAGGAGGGAGATTAGCCTTGGCAGAGGCAGAGCTCAGAATTCTAGAGCTTCCTTCAGGCTGCAGGGAATGTGTGCTTGGATGTGAAGACAAGCAAGATGCTGTCCCAAAGCCATAGGCACTCCCCATCCTCTACTCCAGTCTTTGCTCTGGTGGTTTTTGGTGATGTGGATGACGGTTGTTTTAAAAGGGAGGGTCTCAAGGCATGTACAGGGCCCTCCTGTTAGCCACGGACACTAGGAATGTGTGCTTACAGCTTGGAAAACTCTGAGTCCTCCAGTGACCTCCGTTTTATAGGGCTTCCCAAATTCATAGGTTGAAACCTAGTCCTGAATGTGATGGCTTTTGAAGATGGGGCCTTTGGAATAAGTGTCTTTATAAAAAATGTTCCAAAGAGCTTTTCTCAGTCTTTCCCACATATGAGAACACAGTGAGAAGGTACCATCCGTGGGCCAGAAAGTGGGCCCTCACCAGACACTCATTTGCCAGTGCCTCTGTTGGACTTCCAGCCTCTAGAACAGTGAGAAACTTGTGTTGTTTTAAACTGCCCAGTCTGTGCTATGCTATTTTGTTACAGTATTCCAAACAAACTAAGACAAAGACCTCTATCAAACTCAGCTTCCCCTCCCCATGTATGCATTTCTTTGGCATTTATGTTAGGTTGCTAAGGCTGCCATAACAAAGTGCCAAAGACCAGGGAGCTTAAACGATAGAAATTTATTTTCTTATCGTTCTGGAGTCCAAGATCAGTCTGTTGGCAGAGTTCTTTGCTTCTGAAGGCTGTGAGAGAAGTGTCTGTTTGTTCCAGGCCTCCCTTCCTGAGCTCACAGGCGGCCATCTCCTCTCTGTGTCTTTGCATGGTTTATCTCTGAGTGTCTGTATTCTAATCTCCACTTGAAAGGATACCGATCATTTTGAGCCTACCCTAATGACTTCATTTAAATTTAATGACCTCTGTAAGGACCTTGTCTCAAATATAGTCACTGAGGTGCTGAAGTCTGAGGCACTAGGAGTTAGGACTTTAGCATATGCATGGTTTAGGGGGAAGACACAGTGCAGCCCATAATGGCACTCTGTTGCTTTGGGAGAGGGATAGAAGAGAGAGCTGGTTTCAGTGATCTCATATGGGGTGGGAAAGGAAGGAGGAGATGTCCATGTACTTAGTGATTCTCCAAGAAGAGTGGTATTGGAGGTCATCAGCTGGCTGATGACCACTGCCTGCTGGCTCTGGCTCTTGGAGCCAAGCTTACCTGTGGGAGACACACCCCAAGGAGCTACCATCCCTTCCTTCTTCCTACTGCAAGAATTCATCTCTCTCCTGAGTCTAAGTGTGGGCTTTGAGGATGTCGATCAAGTTACTTTTTGAGTCTAGGGGCCTTTGGTTAAACAGGTGACAGGATGGCAGCCTTCCCTGGGAATGGGCCAAGATGGTGACCAAGGCGATGTGTCTCCCCTGGAGAGTTCTGTCTGTCCTCAGCACCTGCCCCATGCAGGGGCTGGGTTCTCTAGAGAAGCAGAATGGGGACCCTGTGTCTGCATAGGCTCAGGCTGCTGTGCTTTTTCCCTGTAGCTGAAGAGCAAGTGGGACGAGTTCATCTTCACAAAAGGCTGCATCCAGGCATTAGAGGGCTGGCTTCCAAGGAACATCTACATCGTGGCTGGTGTCTTCATTGCCATCTCTCTGCTGCAGGTATGTCAAAGGAGTCCCTAGACTTGGTGGTGGCTTTTGCCATTTGAGGAAGTTGGGCCTTCACAGAATGCTTGTCCAGCATGGGTATAGTGTAAGGACCCTGACAGAAGAAATTGATGTTGAAGTCTGGGTGGGTGCATGTGTTTTAGGAGCACAGTGGGGCCTATAAGTGTGCATTTGGGTGGGGACTGGGCCCAGGACAGGCCATGACTGCTGTCTCCCCATAGTCTGCTACGTAAAGGAAGCCTGTTACAGACAAGCTGGGAGGGATTGTGGTCCTTTCTGGAAGGCCCAAAGGCTACATGAGAGCATATCGTGTGTCTGGAGGTCCAGAGTACACTTTGGGTGGCTGTCACCTAGTTTGGGGTCCTCCCTGCTGATGTGGGGAAGTGGCAGAATTTAAGGAAGTATCAAGAGCTACAAAATAGAAAGTGATACTACGAGTCAGCTTGGGCTTGAAGGAGGCTCAGGTTGGGGCCATCACCCTAGGACCTCTTCTTCCCTGTCTCTGGTACCTGGGCTGGGACTCTGAGGAGTCTTCCCTATCCAACACTGCCCTCTGTGACTTCCTTTCCCCCTTAAGACTGTGCTTGTTATTTGAACCAGATTTCCCCTGTGGAAGGGTAGTGATGGTGAGGTGGTAACAAGGCTTGGGGTAAATGGGCAGACAGAACTGGCAGAGCAAGCCTCCTTGCCTTCAGTGCAAGAAGCCAGCAACTTTTCTAGGCCAGCAAGGAGACACTGGTAGCCTTCAAGTAGCTTCTGGGACAGCACCTGCTGTGTTACATGGAGAACATTTATCAGATGTCTGACTTTGACCTTGCCTCGAACAGGTGACTGTGGCGGAGCATACACAGTACCAGCTGCTGCATACACCTTCCACTTTTCTGTGATAGGTGTTGAGTGACTGCATAGGAGGACTAGAGGGAAAAGTGTGTGGAAAGGAAAGAAAAACTTGCAAAGTGGGCAAGAGAGTCATACTTAACAAGAATTGGCTGTCAATTTAAAAAGGAATTTAAAAGGAAAAGAAAACAAGCAAACTTCAGAGGTCTCCTGAGTTCATGTTTGTCTGTGCTGGTAGAAAAACATCAACCTTTCCTTATGATTTTCATGTTCACCAAGGTCAGAGTCTGTCTTTAGACATCAGATGGCCAAAGTCACAGGTAGCCTTAGTTTTATGATGGACGCCAGGATTACAGGAAACATTTGAGATCATTCTTTGGGAATCAGAACCAGTTGGTCAGCTGGTTCTGAACAGTCAGTGTTATTTTTGGTTGACCCAGGACACAAGTGTGTCTGTCCCACCTGTGGTATATGATGTACTTTCTCATATGGAAGGTGGGACCCAGTGTCTGCTTGCCTCTGTGGTGCCTGCTCATGTCTCTTCTAAGCTTAAGGGATATAGAGCATTCACCAGCTTTCCCTCAGCTCCCTGCCCTTTGTATTTGGTCCCTAATGTCATCAGCCACTGACTGCTGACTTTGGTTTCAGATATTTGGCATCTTCCTGGCAAGGACCCTGATCTCAGATATTGAGGCAGTGAAGGCGGGCCATCACTTCTGAGGAACAGAGGCAAGCAAGCGGAGCTGAGCCATGTCATGGAGGCCAAGCCCTTCACTGTCCTCAACCTTAATGACCAGCGGGAGAGAAGCCAACATAGCCACCCAGAATCAGCCCCTGTCTTCGGCATCAGTGTGATGTGACCTCTCTGTTTCTGCTTGCTGGTGCTGAAGACTGAGGTCCCCTCCTACCTGACCAGACTTGAGATGGCGTGTTTCCCTCCACCCCCTCGAGGTTTACCCAGAGCCAGAGAATGTGTCTACGTGGGTGAGGACTGAGGACAGACAGAGCTTCCATGGCTGTGAGGAGGGCTTGACTTGGTCTTCTTGGAGCCTGAGAGCATCTGGCCCCTCTCTGCAGACCTTGGGCCTTGCACTAGCCCGGAGGGTAGCCACTTCTTGAGGATAGGGTGTGGGTAGGAGGACCAGCAGGTGAGGACAGGGCTTTTGTCTCCATCAGGTCAAGCATCACAGGGACCTGGCCTTACCTGGAGAGGGGCAAGGGGCTCCCTGGACCCTGAGTACTAGTGGGGTCTCTGGGGGTGTCCATGCCCCAGGCATTGTTTGCAGGATCCCTAGCCATGTCCAAGTAAAGTAACCCTGATTCAGTGTGACTGGTGCTGTGGGAATGCCTCCGCTTTTGCCCTCAAAGTCCACAGCCACTCTCCCAGGGTAGAATAGCATCTGATGTTCACAGCATTAAGCCCTAAGGCACCAGGGAGGGCTGGGGGTAGGGAGCTGGTTCTCTGCTGAGAGCTGGCTCTCGGGTTCTTTAATGTGTAAATAGTTTATTTATAGGGGTAAGAGTGTCTTCACCGTGTCTTCATTTCCTCTTCCTTTCCTCCGGCATTCTCCTCTAATCAGCCTTACCTGTGTCTGGGACTAAAGTCCCTTTCAGTTCCCCGAGTGTCTCAAGAACCCACCACCATAGCCTCTCTCCCATCCGCATTTGTTCCACTTCCTCCATGCACCTCCCTCCCCTGCTGTTTTCTGGTCTTGGTGCTACTGAAACTGTCACCCAGAACTTGAATCTTGAATCTCCCTCCCCACAGCACACCTAGGGATCTCCAGACCCAGATGGCCAGCTGGAAACCAGGGCTCCTGTCATGGCCTCACACAACTGGTGCCCTAACATTTGTTCTCCCTAGAGGGAGACACTCTTCCTGTAGCCAGTCCTTGTGCTGAGTCGCAGACCCCACGCCACAGATGATTAGAAGCTCTGGAGGTTTTATTTCTAACTTTCACAGTTGCTCCTTCACTGGGATATCTGTGGTCACTGTGTCCACCTTTCCTGTCAAGGCTATTCTGGGGCTTGCTCTTGGAAATAAAGTCTGTCTTATGTACTGAATACCCTTAGGCGTAGCTGGGGCATTTGTCCATCTTTGGCTGGGCTGCTCTCTAACGCTTCTCAGTAGCTTATACCTGTTTGTGCTCACTGTTCAGGGATTGAGTGCTACCTTCAGTTATTTGCCAATGTGTACATTCTAGTGTGGTGTATACTGGTGATACTGGTGGGTTTGTTGATGATGATGCTCTGATTTTTTTTTTACAATTCTCTGTAGACTAGAGGACAAAGAATGCTTGTGTTTTTAAGAAAGTGTGATGCTTCTCTTTGACTGCCAAACTCTTTTATGGAATATATCTTTATATTAATGCTGTTGTTTTGGTCGTTTTATTTTGGATCACAACAAAATGGCTTTATGCATCTTAGTGGTAAGTTTGGCTGGCGGGAGGACCAGCAACGCCAGGTGTGACTAGACGGTGTGGGAGCACAGAAGTAAAGGCAAACCATCATTGGAATGTTCTGACATAAATTGCACTCTACCTTTTTGTGTAGGTGACAACTAGAACAAGCTGTAAGTGTAAGCTAGAATTTTGACTCCACACTCAGAGGAAACATTATTTTAGATTATCTCTGTCTGGCCCTGGGCAATACTTTTGGTCTAAGCAAGAGAGCTTGGGAATTATGGGTTGGAATCTGGACACTGCTCTTGTATGTATGAACCACGTTTCTAGGACTTGCTGGCCCATCCATAATGGGTGTGTGTGTGTGTGTGTGTGTGTGTGTGTGTGTGTGTGTGTGTGTGTGTGTGTGAGAGAGAGAGAGAGAGAGAGAGAGAAGAATGATGTGCCTACTTCATTGGGTGTGTCTGATTCAGTCTCCTGGGAGGATTGGTGGGTGCAGACCCTCCCTGCCAGTGTGTTGGCATCCCAGGCTGCAGACAAATTCTGTTGTCTTATCTTCATGCAGACTAGCTGACTGGAGCCCTCTTCTCAGGTCACACAGCCCCACTCACGATCAAGTGTCGCCATGACCTCCAGAATTGGGATTGTTTCTCATTTAGTAAAATTTTGTGGCCATTTTAGCTGTCTTCTCTGACTCTGAATAGTTGGATGACAAATGAAAAGAAATGGATGAAGTGAAACAGAGGATCATGTTATAGTCTCCAACACACGTAGCACTCTTCATTGAGGCTCAGAAGCCTGCACTGGCGTACTCTGAACTCCCACCTTCCCTGTCTTCTTAGGCTCAGAGAGGCTAGTGTACAACCCCTGCACTGTTCCCCTTCTATGCTCACTTTCAAGTCTCAGAGTCTGTCCTGCCCACCTCCTCTCATGCTTCTACCATGTGTTTTCCCTGATAGCTGTTCCTGTCCCTGGCCTTTCTTTGCCCATGCTAAAGGCTCGTCATGATCCTTTTGTCTTCTGCTTTTCTCAGTCAGTGTCTGCCCTCCTTACTCCCACCCCCCACTCTCTTCATTTAGCCAGTTGTCAAATCCAGGACCTTTCTCTGCCTTTATGCCCCTTACTCACACTCTGGACCACCTTTCCTCAACCTCCCCTACTTCTGAGAGCCAGACATGCCAGTTTTGACTCTCTCCCATCCATCTTTCTCAGGCCTTGGCTTTAGCTGTGGCTGCCCCTGCCCTCCTCAGCGAGGTCTAGGGTCTCCCATTGTCTGTAGTGTAAGGCTGTGAGCTGGGTAAGAAAACCATCTGCACTGCTTCACAAGAAGCCCAGTACTCAGTGTCCCTACTTAAACAATACTAAAAATTAGTGGATACAGAACCTTCCAGGAACATAGGAAGTGCTCGGAGTACCTAAGAATGAAGAAACTCATTGTGTCACCAGAACAGCTCTGAGGGAGGCATTTTCATGGCCAAACAAGGCCCAGAGGAATGTAAGTTACTGTCAAGGATCTGGAAGGGCTGGGTATACACCCTGGAATCCTCTTCCCAGAACCTCAGTCTGTAGCCGAAACAGGAGGCATGGTACCCATCAACCCTGAATTCCAAATCTGATTGGCTTCTGCCAAACAAAACCAGCACTTGGCAGCCTGAGCAGAGCCAGTCCCTGAAGGTCCTCCAGTTCACTGTACCTCAGCAGGTCCACAGGCTTTTGGAAAAACTAGGAAAGTTAATTCTCTCTGAACCTGGATATGGATGCTTGGCTTGGTTTTGGAACTCTATGGGAAAGCCTGGCATTGCCCCTAGGGAGCTTGGCCTCCATTGTAGGTTAGAGGCCCTGACCCTGAGCAGTGGCCTTACTTCTGTAAGACCTGAACTATAGGTAGAATGGTGCTTCACTCACAGGCTACTCCCTGGCTTCATGTGAGGTGCTTATTTTGCTAAAGTCAGGTTGCTGGAAAGGGCTAGAGCTGCCACCCACCCAGAAGGCCTGTGGGGTGGCTTTCTGTGCTGGACACTGTGGGAACCAACATGGCTTTTTCTCAAGGAGGTCCTCTCAGAGGTCACAGGGGTGGTGGGCATGCATGAGTGTGGGCTATTGCCCTTGGGGAGTTCCCCAGCACAGAGGAGGGAGTCTTTGGTCTCAGAGGAGCGTAAATTTCACAAGTGCAGAGAAAAGGGATGGGTAGGTACTGAAGTGGTCTTAGCACTCCTACTGTTGTGGGAAAGTCCCTCCCCAGGTACCAGGTGTGTCAGCCTTGACATCCACTGGATGAAAGCCTTCCACTGAATCAAGTGAGAAGGGAAGAGAATCAGTGTCTGACCTTCATAGGTAGGACTTGACTTTGCTTCAGGGTTGTAACATGGTATCTGTGTCCCCACAGCCATGGAGGTTTAGGTTGCCAGCCCTGAGCTACGAGAACTGTCCCCCTTGATGCAGCTTGGTTGAGGCGCTTACGTCTGATCATGCCCGGGAGGTTGCTGCTGGGCCTCCTGCAGGTTTAGGTGCTGTCCAAAAATCCAAAGATCCAAACACTTTTAGGGCCTTTTGAGCTCCTTATAAAAGCAACAAGAACTAGTCTTCTCAAGGGCTACATTAAAGACATCTCAGAATGCTACACAAGAGGGGGAGGTAGGAGGATTTTGATCCCAGAACAGCCCCTGGCAAAAGCATGGGCCCTACCTGAAAGATTAAAGCAGAAAGTGCTGAGGTGAGGCTCAAGTGGTAGAGCACTTGCCTAGGAAGCACAGGCCTGTGCTCAAACCCTGGCACTGCCTTCCCAGTCCACACCACAAGGAAAAATGGTTTTGGAATCTCCAGGGTGCTACAGGTAAGTGCTAAATGGGTATTGTAGAGTCAAGAGTGCAGGGTAACTTTGGGAGAAAGAAGAAGTTAAGGATGTCTTTAAGTGGATACTATTTTGGGGAAGTTACCAGTGGTAGGGATCTCTGCTTTGGAGCAGGAGGAAGTGTGAGACTATTATTTCTTCACTTGCTTTCTTCCTGTACTTTGCATCTATACCCCAGTGGGACTTCAAAAGCATGGCTTAATGACCACCAAAATAAATTATCACCTTTGACTGTAATTTTGTCACTTCAAACAACTTTTAAGCTAGTCTTTTTTATATATATAAGGAAAAGCAATCTAAATAGACTGTAAAGTGGAAAGTATGTCTTCTGTTTGCCCAGAGGCAACCACTATTAAGAAAATGTCTTCAGATCTTCATGCAAATGGAATCATTTTGCATAGTGTCCTATGATTAGTTTTACTTAATACACTGATCTCACAGTGTGTTTGGAGGCAGTGGTAGGGCTGTGCCATTAGTGAATGGATCTTGCTCTCTCCAGAGGAGTATGTTTACAGTCCCAGGTAACACAAAACCCCATTCAAACTGGCCTGAACAATAAGGGGAGAGCTTTGGCTTCTGAAACTGGAAAACCCAGAGGTGGGGTGAATTTCAGAGCTGGTGTGATCCAAGTGGCTCACTGACATCAGCAGGATCTTGTTTCCTTTTCTTTCTGTTCTCCCTGCCATGGTGTCCCCATCATGAGCCTCCCTGTGATGGGGGCATTGTGGTGCTGAAGACATCCAGGGATGGATCGCCCCCTCCTTCTTTCATGTTCATTCCCCTTGAACCATGTGACAGGGAAACAGTCCTGCAAGATGGGGGATAGATGCTGGGGACGCTTCAACAATGGCCCATCATGCTTCTATGTGTGAAGTTTACAGTTGGATCACCTGGTTTTATGAGGCCTTATTAAAAGTCATGGTATTTGGTTGTTAGAATTACTTCTTAATAGGGGTTGTAAGAAAAATATTTTAGAGGAATTTCTCCAGGAGGAATTTCTCAGATCTTAATGAGTGAGTTCTTGGGGCTGGGGTATGCCAGGCCCCTGCTGGTGTGTGGCGAGTACCCTCAGCTGTTTTGTTTGTAAAATGGGAGTAATAATACCCTCTCCCTTGTGATGTTATTTCAAGGATTAAATGAGATGAAGTGAGTAAAACACTGAAATACAGATCACTTAGTATTTTGCTCCCTAATCAAGATTACTAACATGATTTTGAGATTAGGGGGATTTTCATACACAGCTGCTGGCCCCCACTGTCCAAGCTGCTTGGTTACATGCACATGGCTCAAGCTGAGCAAAACTGAAAAGAAGTGTTTATGTTTCTGTCCCTTTAGAAACAAGGCTTTGAGGTCAGCTGGAGCCTTATCAGGTATTTGGAGTACAAGGTCTGTTTGCTGTCTGTGCCCTGGGGGTAGGAAGGTGAGAGGGGCTGCTTCTTGCCTGGAGTATGGATCCTGTCTGAAACCTATACAAGTAAAGAAGTTGCCCATGAGCCCTCAGCAGCAGCAGCAGCAGCAGAAGAAGAGCCCTCATCTGTCAGAAGCACCAGGGCTGCTACAGAGGCCCTGGTGCCCAGAAGGAATAAGAAGGGCACTTAGGAGCTTAGTGGAGTGGAACAGAGGGAAGAGCCTGCAAACTGGCATGGCAGGGCCCTGTGTGAGCTAATGGGCTCTGAAAACCACAGGACATTACGTTTGAATGGTTGGCAGATCTCTTCTGATCCCACTACTGGTAGGGAGCGCAGAGGCCCAGGGACACGCTAGCCCTTGCCGAAGGAGGTCACGTGCTCCTCCCTGGAGTGTCCACCTCAGTAGGTCTGGGAAGCTGGGCTCATGTATGAAACTGGTACCAATGTGCCTCTGCTTGTCCAGATGCCCTGAGAAAAATCTGGTGTCTGAAAACATGACCTCCTTCTGAAAGGTCAGGAAAAACCAGGTAGAGTGTGGAAGTTGTGATCCTGTTTGACTTAAGGCAGTGAGAGCCTGGAGCATTCCCCTCACCTGTTACTCCACATTTTGGTATCACCACCTGGATCCACATCATCCTTTCTCTACTCACCTTCCAATTCAGCCACTTTGTCTTTGCTGTGCCCTTGTAAGGAAGCCCAGATTGCAGATTTATAGATTCCTTGGGCCCAAAGTCACTCAACCATAAACAGGAAGGACCATTGTGTTTTCTAGTTTTAGATTTGTTTTTGTTTTGTAAAATCATAGCTGTGGTCCAGTATGGAAAGAATTGGAGCAGCCTCTGGGAGGGACTGAGTTTCCTGTTCAAGCCCAGGCTAGACACCTGTCCAGGACCACATGAATGGGGCAGTAGATGAACTGTGCTTGGACTGAGGGAAATCTTTCCATCTCCAAGAGGCAGTGGTCTTTTCCACACCCTCTGTTCAAGCTGATTTTATAAAAAAAGCAGGACTCTTAAATATTACACGTGTACATGTCAAAGTTTTTATTTAATTCATTAATTAAATGAGCTGTAGATTAACCAGTTGAAAGGAGAAATCACAA